TACGCTTAGGGCACAAGGTAACTTCACTATATCCCGACGACAAACAGCGGACTGATTGTAAAGGATCGGACAATACTCCCTAGGCAATTTGCGTACAAGTTGTTTGACATATATTAAAGAAAAGCTGGTCGATTCGTACAGTTATTCGCATTTATGACTTTTGCACGCACAATTTCCTGTCGAAAAAGTGATGTGCTGCAAACCTGATCAGCTAGGCTTAAAAGAGGTCATTCTAATTTCCCTCAAAAGAGTCTTATTTTGCACTTACCCACTTAAGGTTTTTCGGATTCTGTCGACCTCCTAGGATAATTTCACACCAACCGGGCTATATCGGTGAAACTGGATAAAGGCTGTGAGCAAAACCATGTGGACTAGCCAAAATTTGGAACTAAGTGAGTCCTCTTTCCATGCGCTTTCTTCTGTATTCATAATTTGACACTAATTAGTCCTCCTCTGCCAAACTATGTTTTTGCTTTAAAAAACGACACAAAATTCATACACCCAGCGGTCACTTCACATCGTTGCGGCGTCCGCCGATTTCAGGACGGAAATGGGCATTTCTGTTTTGCCCTGGCTCCAAGTTTAGAGCTTTCATAGGCGGTCGCACAGTAAGTAAGCCAAAATAGCCGTTTCGGTCTCCCTCGTCTTTCTTGTTAACACATTTCGACCCAAGGACAAGTCAAAAGCAAAAGCCCGAAAGCGTGAATCCCATGATATTTTAGGAGTGGGGCATGAAGCTTGCTTCGGTAATCACAGTCGCACCACTCATCTTGGAGGTCATTTTATTCGTCGTAAGTAGAATGCCGAATTGATTTCATTCATATCACGTTGCAAAAAGCTGAATAAAAGTTCGATTTCAAACTGAATGGTTAACTTATTGGTGATATGATGCAACTCCTTCGCCACTTGCAATATTTCTGTTACCCAATGGTCCGTCGTCTTTATGGAGTGGCTTTCCTTTATGGTTTTTAATAGTTCAGCAATGAACGGGACAATATAATCCAAGGAGTCGGGGCGGTTCTTGAAGGCCACATAAATAAGAGACTTAATGTCCACTCCCAGTCTGATGCCCTTTGCCAACGTGAGACGACCAAGAAACGCTCCGAAATGTTTTAATGCCTTTCCATTGCACGGCTGTAGTCGTCCACTTTGCAGCAGTGTGTCGATCTCTCTCGTTAGTAAATGAAGAATATGGGAACGGAAATTATTCTGACGATCTGATGCAAGTAATACGAATTCGGCATACAGATTGACAAGATTAGGCTCCGAAGCGACGCGGCTGATGATAAACTCCGCAAACCAATTCATAAAGTGGTAGGGTAGCAGTGACATCACTTCGTCTGCCTGGCGTTGGAGGTTGTGTTCGGTGATATTATTCAGAATGAAACATATTCTTTTCGTGATGCGCTCAGGCGGATGTGCACCGTGGGTAGGGATTCTGGATGTCATGTTAGACTCGCTTGCAGGGAAACTGCGAGTGCGGTGAGAAGTGAGAAGTTGTTAGCTTTCGAGTGATTCAACTGACCGCTTGGTGTTTTTAAATGGTGTGGTAGAATCGATCGTTACACGCTGCACGTAATTGCTCAGCAAACGTACCTTCGATCGATACTATGGGGTGGACACGCCTGTCTGCGAAGCGATGGCATTACGCGTTAAAGCTTGCCATCTCACCGTTATCAGCCAAGGCGCACGTGGTAAGTTGAAAGGCCTGAAGCAGACTTCGCGGGACTGATCTACGAGTTTTACTAACTCTTTATAACGAAGGTAACTAAATAAAACTCCTGCAACCTTATTGCTTGCATACCAGACTCATTCATTCCTTTATAAGCTTTGTGTGCCAGCAGCAAACTTTTATTTCATTAGTGCCTCACTGATTAAAATCTGATAACTTGAAAAAAATGGCTGCTTCTCCTGACTGCAATATTTAATTTTTCATTGAATTTAAAGTTCAGTAATTTTATGACATTTCCTCGTCTAATATTTGGCTTTGCTCATCTTGAAAAAAGTAAAACTTTAAAGTTTTACTGTTAATGTTGTGCGCTGTTCTGCAGGCTTTGATTATGGCTGCTGAGCTGTAAAGGGTAGCAGTCACTTAACTCCTGCGACAGATTAAAGATAAGCAGCAGTACTATACCATGAATCAAAAAGATTTCGTCTGTCAGAGGTATTCCTTTTTGCACCTCCCTTAAAAACAGCTTGCGAAGGAATCTTATAAGTACCATCTGTTTTAGCTCACCCCAAAAACAAAGATACTCTGCTTAATCTGTTAAGTGAATAATCCGAACATGCGATATTTTGCCCAAATTTCTGTCTTTGGATCCAAATAAAGGGCATCCCGACAGAGTCTACGATGATTATACATAGTGAATCGACTTACCTAGTGCTATTGTGGTTCATTTAAATGTAAAATTTATAGTCCTACCTATTCAACTCTGCAGGGTGTAGAGTATTAACTGAAGCCCATTTGTTACTGCATTACCGGGGCCTTCCGAAAAGGACCCCCGAAATATCCATTAAAGAGTAGCGCATTTTTATGATATCCTTAAATACTGTCAGTCGAAAGAACTATTCGTTCTCTTTCAGTTCTCGGAATTGAAAAACCTGCACTTTTCAGCACTATAGCTAAGAGAATATCGCAAAAGGAGTTAAGGCTAAGCCGGTTGAACCCTAACTACTGCTATCTTCCAGGCCCAGTTCCTTAGAAGAAGAGAGAGAAGACTTGGAAGTCCAGAGTAGTGGGAACAATATATTGTTTACAGATTGAGTTGGAGAATAGTTCATAAGAAGGTTGACTCGGTCTGGCGTGGAGCTCAACCGTGAGAGCCATGAGTGAGAGCAG